GTAATAGCTAAAACTTGGAAAAAGCCCATTTGCCCATCAGTTGGAGACTAGATAAAGAAGATGGAGTTTTTCTATAAAATGGAATACTACTCAGCCATAAAGAATGAGAAATTAGATTCATTCATAGGAAAATGGATACATATTGAGGATTTACTCCTAAGTGAAATAAGTAAGTCACACATGTGTAAATACCGAATAATTTCTCTGGTGTGAAAAACTGTAATAGTACATAAGATCCTAATGAGATCATTGACAATGTGAAATAGGAAGAAAAGGGCTAAAGGTGTAGGGAAAGTAGGAAGGGTAGGGGAAAGGTAATAAGGAAAAAAATATATGAGAAAATGAAAAAATGGAAATAAAATGTTTGTAAATGGGGAGGAAAGGAGAGGGTGAAGGGAGGGCAGGGACAAACAGAAAAAATGAGAATCAAGACCTGTCATGTAAAGGTACAAGATCCCAATGATGAATGTAACTGTACTGTGTACCTAAAATGCACCAATAAACTCAATGAGAGAAAAAAAAATAAAAGTAATTATAACACAATGTGACAACAGATATAAAAGTGTAAAGTGTTAAGTAATTCAGGAGCAGAGGAGATGGGAAGTTGAGAAAGACCATGGAGAAGTAATATTTTTCTGTTGAGTCTTAAGAGTTATTTAGGAGTTTGGCAAAGGAGAAATATGGAAAAGTAAAGGCACAGAGGTAGTAAGAATACAGATTTGCAAGAAATATGACAAGATAAATAAGTTATAGCAATTCCCAACTTTACTAGGAGAAGGAAAGAGAACCATTTACAGGGCTCATCATCTACAAATAATAAGTGCCGACTGCAAACCAGAAACTCTGTACCATGCTAGGGGTACAACAGAGTAATAAAAGGGGCAGAACTTGTCTTTGAGAGGCTTACACATTTGTGTTAATCCAACGGTGTGAAGGAAAGTCCAAGGCGCTGGTGATCTTGAGGAGGATTTACTTCCCTGAGGAATGGACTTTGACCAGACAGTGGGAGATGGCACACGGGAAGACTAGGCTACAATATGGGTAAGGATCCTGGGAGGAGCAAAGGGACAGAGCTTTGGAAGAAAGGAATCAAGTGAGATGTGGCTAGAGCAAAGAGACAGAAAAAGTTGTACAAGACATGGTTGGAGAGACAGCTTCTAAGCGTTGCTAGTCTTCATTCCAAGAGTCTTTGGGAGATCCTGAAGGGTTTTATGGGGAGGTGCACAAGACTAACCTGTCATTTTAAGGGATCACCTAACTGAAGTGTGTATAGGAGATAGTGCCCTGCCCACTTCACAGAAAGAAGCCAGCCAGGTACCTATGCAGTTGTCCAAGAGAGGTAGGAGAGGGACTGGCTGGTGGCTATAGAGAAGGGGAAAGATCCAGATTTGAACCTCAAAGACTTGCCCAGCTAAAGATTAACTGTTGTTAAAGTAGGAAGGACAGGGAAGATGGTGCCTACAAACAAGTTTACTTTAAAAGTGGCATATATGTAGTCTAGCCTTTTCTCTAAAGAGTCAACAACACAGGTGACTTTACCATTATCTTGCCTTTTTTGGCAATCAACCACACCTGTCTCACCACAAGGAAATTCAGCATTCATCCCACTAGAGTTCCCTGGAGGCCACAAGAGGCAAATAGAGATTCTCCTTATTTGTAGCTGTCCAGTTAAATAAACCAAGTCAGAGGCAAATGACAGTGAAAAAGTCATTAGCAACTTACATTGCATAAAAGGAATAATATAAGTAAAGAGATCTCACAAACCAATAAAGATATGAACATTCAACTAGAAATATTAAATTGAAATGTATAAATATGTATACTATTAGGATGTTCACTGTACTATTCCTTAATACAGTAAAAGTATTAGATACCATCTAAACAAATGCTATACATTAAATTTATAAGCACATAACATAATACTATGCAGTTATTAAAATGGTTATATGCACCTGGAATAGTCAAAACATTCTTGAAAAATAACAAAATTAGGAGATTCACACTATCTGGGTTCAAAACTTACTAAAGAGCTACAGTTTCACAGTGGATATAGACAGACATACAGACCAGTGAAAAAGAATAGAAAGCCAAGGAATAAACCAATGGGTATGTGGTCAAATGATCTTCAGCAAGAATTCCAAGACTGTTCTATAGGGAAAGGACAGTCTTTTCTACAAGTGGTGCTAAGAAAACTGAAAAAGCACATGCAAAAGAATAAAGCTGGGCTCTTAACTTTAATCACACACCCAAATGAACTCAAGGTAAGACTAAATACCTGACCATAAAGGTTAATTCTGTAGAAATGCTTCTAGTTTTCGAAGAAAAATAAAGGAAAACTTGAAGACATTGGATTCAGCAATGATTTCTTAGATATGCCCTCATGAGCAAGGCAACAAAAGAAGAAATAGACAAATTGGCTACAGTATTAAAGTTAATGTCTTTTGGGGTCAGTATACTATAATAGAATGAAATGAAAACCACAGAATGGGAGAAAATATCTGCCAATCAAATTCAATAAGGAATATCCAGAATATATAAAGAACTTCTATATTGCAAAACAAACAATCCAATTAAAAAAGAAAAAAGAACATAGACATTTTTCTAAGGAGGATATGCTAATGGATGATAAACTCAAGAAAAAATGGTCAACATCACTACTCATTAGGTAAATGCCAATCAAAATCACGATGAGGTATTGTTTCACGTATATAAGATTGGCTATGACCAAAATAACAGAAAATGAATTGTTGGCATAGTTGTGCAGAAAGTACCACCTTCATGAATTGCTGGTAGGTATGTAAAATGATGTAGTCACTATGGAAAACAATATGCAGTACCTCAAAAAACTTGAATACAATTACCATATATTTCAGCATTTCCATTGTGGCTCTATATCCCAAAGAACTGAAAGCAGGGACTTGAACAGATCATTTGTACTCCAATGTTCATAGCAGCTTTATTCACAATGGCCAAAAAGTAGAAACCCAAATGTCCACTGATGGATGAATGAATAAATAAAATAAGGTATAGTATTTAATGGAATATTACAGTAGAATACTATTCAGCCTTAAAAGAAATGAAATTCTGATAAATACTACAATAGAAACTTTGAAATCATTATGCTACATGAAATAAGCCAGACAAGAAAAGGACAAATATTGTATAATTATACTTATGTGAGGTACTAGAAAATTCAAAAGTCAAACTCAAGAGAACCATATAAAGTAAAATGGTTGCTATTAGAGGCTGGAAGAGGGCAAAAAGGGGAATGGCTATTTAATGGGTACAAAGATTCACCTACGATGACTAAAAAGTTTTAGAGACAGGTAACAGTGATGATTGCAAAATAATGTTAAGTGTATTTCATGCTACTAAAGTGTACAATTGAGAATGGTTAGAATGGCAAATAGTATGTTATGTATATTTTACCATGACAAAAAAATGTTTTAAAAATGATGTGTGAAAAAACTTTTACTATATGTCAGGTGGGAAAAATAGGTCACAAAATTGTATAGGCAGACACTTTTTCATTTAAAAACAAATATATTCCCAGACATAACATCAGGAAAGGCTTTGATTTTCACTTTGGCCAGAACTGTGGTTCCCACCTGGGAGACAGGCTGAGAAGTTCAAGCATGTAGCTCACTTCACTCAGCAGTCAAGGAAGCCAGGGAAGGAATAGCTGAGAATCAGTACTGACAAAGCCAACAACAGAACTGACCACACTAGAGCCTTGGGAACTTGCTCTGTTCCCTTGCTTTTGTACCAGTGAGAAAATGAGGCCAGCCAGGTCTAGTGGGGTACACAGGATGCAAACTCTCCTGACTTTTCTCAAGATTTACAGTACTACTGAGTGATACACCAGAAAGCATTATCTGATATAATGCTGTCTGGACTAAATATTCCATTTGATTTGGGTAATATTAATCTACTCACCTACTTACCATCTATACCAGGGTGAATTCTTTGGATCAAGGAAGACTTCAGAGTGTACAACGCACAGTATTTTTCCAAGGGGAGTTACATTACTATAATGAGGGCTCAGAGCAGTCCAGTCACTGTCCTCTGAGAATCAATGTGGGCTGACTGTACTTCAAAGCAATCCAGTTACCATATTTCAATAAATGCTATGAAATGCTGACTTAAAAAATATTAAAAATATAACACTGACTAGAAGTAACACCAAAGTGGAAGTCAGAACTGTGGTCTGGGTTCAGGTTCTGTAAATACTTAAGCACTCTTTCAATGTAACATGGCTAATGTTAAGTAGTAGGGCATGGGGAGAGAATGAGAGAAGACGATTCTAAATAAATGACAGTCTTTATCTTCAACAGATGATCTTTTATTTGATAGGCTGCTTAATCTTGCAGATTTTTACGTTCTTCCCTCAAAATTCAAAGATATTACCATGCCATTCTGTTATTAGGAAACAGAATAGATATATCAACCTTGATACCCTTCAAGTTTTGAGTCTGATAGTTCTTTTTGGGGGATGGAAGGCTGTAGATGCATAGTGTCACCCCTGCTCCCTCCCTACTACTACATGTCACTAGCACCCCACCTCTTGCCACTTATGACAAACAAAACTGTCTGCAGACATTATCAAACATCCCCTGGGGATAAAACTGCCCATTTGAGAACCTTTGAAATAAGTTGGCATATTTAAAAACATTTTTTAAAAGAATCAAACCCTAAGTCAATTTAAGTCAGTATTAATGCAAACCCATTTATTAAAAAAAAAAAAAAAAAAAAAAACTTTAAAAAATTTACAGTTTCCTTAGGAATGTTTTATTTGCTATTTTTATATATTTTGCCTACCATTAAAAGTCCTTCAGGGCTTTTTGGTTAATTTTCTTTAACCAAACAAAGTATCCTCATTACAACATACTTTAAAAAAAAATGTATCATTGTACTAACATAACAGAGTCAAATATAATTGCCATGTCTATAAAGCAAAAATCCTATTTTCTTTGTCCAAAATCAAAGTGCATTGTGCCTACCTTTTAAGGACAAGGGATTGGATCTTGTGAATTCTGTACTTGATGGCTTATGTTGTTTACGTGCTTCCAAGTACTCCTTAACTCTTGAATCAATGGTTTCTTTTAACAGCAAACAGACTTCCTGAAGTAAATAAAAAATTGGATATAACCTTCTAATTTAATGCAATGAAAAAGTTAACATCTTACACATTAAAAAGTCAATGCTAGACAATTTGTTTGCTTTTTAATTTAATTATGAATGTTGCAAGGAATGTTATATATTTTTATGAATAACACTGGAGTTTTAAATATGCTACTGTGGTTTGTTCAAAACCATGATTTTGTTTCACTGTGTGATGTGAGAAATTCATTTCATTTCATTTTGCCTCAGTTTCACAATGGCAAGAGTAAGATAAGAAAGGTTAATTCACTATAAAACTGATGATGACATGGTGACAAAATCAGTAAGGTAAAGAATGTTTTCCTATAAATATCAAATAATTGTTACACTGTGAATAGAAGAGAAAGTGAAATGAAGCCAATGCTAGCTGGTAGCAAGGAACCTGGGGAAACACCCATGGCAGCTAGGCAGGGAACTGTAGCAGGAAGAAGCCAAGAGTAAGAACAAGTTCATGTCCTGTGGGCGCAGATGGCACAGGGAAGCAGACCACACCCAGACCACAGGGGCAATCCCCAAGGATTCACTAAACCCTTGTCCTGTTTATAGGCCTGGTGTGGCCAGATCTAATCTGTTCAAGAGGAGCCAGCAACAGCGATGTTTATACAAAAATATCCGTTTTCAAATTAGGTTTTAAAATTTTTGAATGTAAACGGCATCATTCATTAGTTTCTGGGCTCAGGTTTACAAATCTACTGAAGAAGGAAGAACATCGAGCAATGGGTGAAACAGAAAACAGGAAATGGGTAATCTGATTTCTTCCCACACTCTTGCTGATGACACTGAATATGTCCATTTGCTTTTGTTAAATTGGTACTATATACATCAGTTAATGATGAAAATAATTCAACTTCTCTCATTAGTCTAAAGTAGATTAAAATTTATGAGGTAATAAAGACACAGGTTTTAATTCAATTTCAGCAAGCTGTATCACTAATTAGACATGTGAATTGGCTCATGTATTTGTGATATTTATAAAAAGATAAACAAAAAATTCAAAAGCCCAACCACACATTGGAAAGATACACTGTGTAGTGTATCACTACCAAGAAAATCAATCTATTGTAGGAAGTGTGGAGGAACTATATACAAAATTGATACCCAAGGACTGATATCCAATTCAGTAAGACTGCAGCAGGCTCAGAGCTGCACTGGTCAGCTCAAACTCATTTCGCTGGTTTCTTGCAAAGCCATCTCAGGTTGATCTCTTAGACTCTTCATACATTAAAACCTGAGCAAAGTTTGAAGCTGCTCTAAAGAGCAACCATATCAAGACTTCCTTTTCTGCAAATACTTGTATCCCTCAGACAGTTTGTAAAACCCTTGATTTAACCCATAAAGGGGAGTTTCTCAGAATATATAAACACAGGTCTCTTCTCTCCCGATTTTCATTTTTCACCCAAAGATGCAGTCAGTGCCTTGTGGAATACGGAGATATATGTTTACAGTTGAGTGTTTTGGCATTGTTCACACAACAGAAAGGCAGCCTTGCCTCATACTGTTGTTTTAGAAATTAAAAAATTTTGCTTCACATGCAATGTTCAGCTATGACCGAGCTAGAAAATATGTGAAAGACATACATGGAAACAAAGATTGCTAAAATTTGGCCATAAATACCCTATATGGCTAGAACTAAAAACAGTATGACAAAAATAGAGCACAGGCCTATAGCAGAAAGTTTCCCCCTATAGTTATGGAGCTCTCCTTCCATGAGGTACATCTCACGAGTATAGGACAGGCAGGGTAGAAGGTGGTCAAGATACCCAGTAACTGACCATGCCACACTTAGTGAAGCAGCCTCTTTAGAGCCAGGGCAGTACTTGAAAAGGAGAACTACCAGCAAGATCTGAAAGGCAGATGAGAAGATCAAGTAAGAGATAGATATGGCATCTCTAGCCTAACAGGGACTTATGCTTGCTTCCTCGAGAATCAATGTGGAACAGTTTGAGTTTGACTGTTTGGGTACAAAGACTACTTGTGCTGGACTCAAAATAAACATATGTTTAATACATGTAATTAGCTCCTTTTTCTAAGAGGAATGGGATATTCTTAGGCTCTCACTACACAAAATGACTGTTAAAATGTAATCAAACTGGCTGCTCATGAAATCCTAATCATGTGATGATCTAAAGATAAAAATGATAAAAGCACTGAGACATTGAATATAGGGCAAAGTCATAACCTGTCTTCAATAGGCCCTTCTTCTTTCTTAGACGCACACATAAATTATTCCAGAGCAATATCAGTGTCAGTGCACATTTTAAAGGAACCACTTAAAGTCGAGGCAACAAACTATCTACTTTTCTTTGAGAGGAAAGCTGAGCTGCTGGCAAGATCTGCCCTCTTGCAGCTGCTGCTGCAGGTCCTGTCATGTGTGGTGCATCCATGCTAAGTCATGTCTTGCTTTTCCTGAAGTAGGTTCTCATTGGAGTGATGCCCTAAGTAGGTACTAGGTGGAGGGATATGGTTATGTGTGGCACACTGAGAAACTCCAGCCTCACACTTTGCCTGGGAGGTGATTCACATACTCCTGGCCCTAAAACAAGCCACATCAACTGTCTTTTGGAGAATATTGACTAAATGTCAACACAAAAGATCTAAGGACAACATGGAAAGGGATTGCTAAAATTTGGCCATAAATACCCTATAAGGCTAGAACTAAAAACAGTATGACAAATAGAGCACAGGCCTATAGCAGAAATTTCCCCCTATAGTTAAGTTCCCCTCTCCTATAGGGATACTGCAGGAAAATGTGGGCCTGAAATGGTGGAATTACAACACTTTTAATGTAAGTCACATCAGAAGCTTTTCAGGTAAGATTCCCACTGGGTGAACTATTAGTCTCTCTGAGGAAATGAATGAACTGATTTGGATCATAGGGATATGTGTCAGTAAGCAAAAGCCTGGAATTCTATGAAGGTCAGTGGCAGTAGGAGACATTGGCCTGGGAAATACTAAAATCTGAAGAGGACAGTCCCATCATACTGAACCTTGTGCCTTTCTGCCCCAGCTACTGATATTAGTCCTACTGATATTACCTGTCCATTGCAAACATATTATTCTATTTTGAGGGGAGAAGGGTGGAAGAGTTTTATAGTGACTTCCAAAAGCTGACTGAAAAGAATTATCACAGGAACGATTTTTTTGGCCACTATCACTAGCTTCCTCGCTATTCAATATTCTTTTAATAAAATTTACTTTTATTTCTTACTCTAAAAAGTAACTGCACAAATGACTATCACGAGGGATAGTACAATGGTATTTTGAAGGTTATGTAAAAGCCACAACCTGACTACCCCCATCCTCTGGTAAGCAAATCTGGAGGAGGAAGCAAAGTCCATGACAAGAACCAATGCACCCACTAAGCCCCAAGCAGAACAGTGAAAGCACAGAAATTCAGAACCAAGAGGAGACTCAGGCAGTACTGGCCAAACCCCTGCATGTATAGTGAGAAAGCAAAGCTCTGAAGCTCAGAGAGGTCAAAGATCATAAGGTTGACCCCTGAAAAAGACAAGGGTTAAGGGACCTGTCCTCCTGCATAGTCAGAAATCCAAGTATAACTTTTGACTCCCCTAAAACTTAACTACTAACAGCCTGCTATTACTAGAAGCCTTATCAATGACAAAAACAATTAACACGTATTTTATATATGTATTACACATAATGACAAATACTACAGAACCAGAAGCGATCATGGGGGTAGGTACTGGGGATTCAATCCAGGGACTCAAACATGTTAACAACTCTAACCACTGAGCAATATCCTCAGCCCCTTTACAAAATTTATTTTAAGGCAGGGTCATGCTACTAAGTTGCTCAGGATGGCCTTAAACTTGTGATCCTCTTGCTGCAGCCTCCAGGACAGGTGGGATTATAAGCGTATGCCAACCACACCCAACTGATAACACTTTCTACAGTGACACACAATTTACTGGAAAGACAAATTGCTCATGTGGAGATGACTCTCTCACATGGCAATTTACTCACATATTCGCAACATCCAAGCCTGGTGCAATAGCAATGGTGAGTTACAAAATTATTATGTAGTATAATATGTTCTACAGTCAATCTTATGCAGTTACAATTTAGAACTGCATCTTTATATTTGCTCATAACTATCTCAGCTGTATATTTTGCCATGTACATTATGTTACTTTTGACACATTTTAACTTATTACAAAAGATCTGTATATATTTTATGGTAGGAAATGACAGAATATTATCTTTATATATTTTATAAACTCATGATATCTTACTTTTTCTTAATTTTTCCAATGCTTCTAGGCTATAAGATTTATGAGAGTTTTTCAAACTATTACAAATCTCCAAAAATAAATTCTGTGTATAAATGGATCCATGTATTCCAAATCTGTGTTGTTCAAGGATCAAGTTTATATCCATACTCAACTAGATAGTTACTGACTGACCAGCATGAAAGAGGGAACAAGTAACTATTTCCTCACTTGTCTCTGGCTCATGACAATGAAGGATGGCAAGTGATAAAAGGAAAGAATTTAAAACAGGCATATTAAACTCCACACCTACCTGAGGTACTCAGTCACCCTTCACAACAAATCACAGCAGAATTACTGCTTACTGAAAGTTTCTTCAACTTCTTCCTTTTTAATATAGAGAAACCCTTTCTCCAAAACAAAGGAGTGGGCAATCTTTGGTTTAAGTAACAGAGTTGAGGATGAGGATATAGCTCACTGGTAGGGTGCTGCCTAGCACGTGAAAGGCCTAGGGTCTCATCCCCAGCACCACAATCAGTCGATCAAAGAGTAGCATAGAAGGCACAAAGATATATCAGCTTCTGAAGGGAAATCGAAGGGCCATAAGTGTGTCATTGGGAATACAAAAAATATTTTTTGAGGCTTAAATACAAGTGAATTATTTTTCCCACTAATGAAAATAAAAACTGGAATACTTCTAGGAGCTTCAGCTTTGTTTATTTATACAGTAAAAAGTTTCATTGTACCTCTTTCTTCTCTTCAGAAAACCAGCTGGTATCTTTGTTTGACCCTTGCGGTGATACATGAAGATCCACCAGGACAGCAAAATCCTTGCACTGAAACACACCAATGGCAGAGTCAAAATCTGTGTGGCTCACACCAAGCAAACGAGAGAAAAATCCTACAAATTCCTACACGGCAGCAGAGTCCACTGCTGGACAGAAATCTTAACCAACATAACCTACTGTTTCATAAGTTTAACATTTATAGCAGAAGTGCTAAGAAGAAATAGAAGGCCTCTGTCTCTGCCCCAGACAGACTGGAAATCCCAGATATCCCAGTGACAGTGGAAGACTATCAAACATCCAGAGAAATTAAATGGGTCAGAAGTAGGTTCATGCCAGAAGGGACTGATTCTGCACACAGCAAGGGCAATCTTCCTTCCAAACAGGAGTGAACAGAATAAGCTGTTGCATTTTTAGACAAAAGACTGGCTGGGAGAGACATCTTGACATAGAAACATAAGCCAGGAAGAATGAGAAGGAATGAAGGAGAGGAAGGTTGAGACTAAATGCCAGTTAACAAAACTAAACAAAGTTTTAATAAAACGGCTTCTGCTCATTGTTGGTTCACATCATCCAGCACTTGGGCACTTTTGTGCTGCTCATCAGTAGGATCACCAAGAGCTATATGAGGGCACTCAAAATGAGAAAACTGTGGCTGAAAAGCCAGATTTTAAATTTAAACAGCCCCAAAGGACAAATGACTCTCTACTAGAGAGCACAGTTACAGATCCCATGAAAAATCATAACCTTATAATCCTCACACTTGCTAAGTAATATCTGAGAATCCTAACTGTGAACAAATTAATCTGAAAAGACTGTGGGTTGGGAATGTCAAAGAGACCCGGAGGCTCAGTTTACAGGCCACAGGAAAAGTCACTTTTATATCTCTTTGGCTAAACAGTTTTTTTTTTTAATTATGTGCTGTAATTCAATGGTGGAAAAAAAGTCATTTTGACAAGTGGTGTAAGATCAACAGATATAAATATAGAAAGAAAACGAAACCTGGCACTGGCCTCCTACATATAAGACTTAATTTTAGATGAATTAACGATTTAACATAAAAGGCAAAACCGATCTTCCTTTGTCTCTTTTTTTCCTTCCCTCTTTCTCTCCCTCCCTTATTTCTTCTTCCTTTTTTTTTTTCTTTTTTTTGGTTGTTGTTGTTTAGACAGTTTCTTTCTATGCAGTTCAAGCTGGCTGTGAATTTGTTATGTAACCCAGGCTGGCCTTGAACTCATGGCTATCCTCCTGTCTCAATCTCTTGTGTGCTGGGATTACAGGCATGTGCCATCACGCCCAGTCAAAAACTCTTTTTAATCTTCAGGACAATAAAAGATTTTTTAGAGAGGATCCAGAAAATACTAGAGAAGAAAAATTTGTTAAAACATTGTGGAAGCAAAAAAACTTGTGTGCATCTAAAAATACATCATTAGTAAAATGAATATGTGTGTCTCAGACTAGAAAAATGTATTCATAAATACATGTCTCTGACATAAAGTACTGGTATTCAAACATTGCTACACACTGATACTGAAGAAACAAACAAACCATTTAAGCAGACACTTCACAAATAAATGAGCAGATAATCAATACCTGGAAAAAGTATTTACCGTCATTAGTTATCAGACAAATGCAAATGACAAGCACCAAGAGACACAGCTACAATATTCATTAAGCTGAGTGAAAGGAAAAGACTGTCACAACACTGAGCATGGGTAAGGATCCTGAGCAATCCAGGCTCTCACAAAAAACACTGGTGGAAAAGTAAAATGGTTCAATCACTTTGACAAATGATTTGTCAATTTCCTACATATAAACCTGTATTTGTTTACTAACTGAACCAAAAATCCCACCCTAGGAAACATAAAGGTTATGTGCACACAAAGACATGTATGCAGTTCATCAAAGTTTATGGAATTTTTTCATAATAATTAAAACCAATGATGGTTTTACAGTTAATCAACAGAAGAATTCACAAATGGTGTTACATTTGAATACAAGAATGCCTCTCTCATCAAACTACTAATATGATCCACATGGATTTATCTCACAAACACTGTATATCAGTTCCTTTTTTTTTTTTTTAGTTAGCAGCCTTTTATTTTTTATTTTTTTCTCTCATTGAGTTTATTGGTACATTTTAGGTATACAGTACAGTCACATTCATCATTGGGATCTTGCACCTTTACATGACAGGTCTTGGTTCTCACTTTTTCCCCTTGTCCCTGCCCTCCCTACACCTCTTCTCCCCTCCCCATTTCTCAGTAATAATTTTAAATAAAATGCATTCATATTTGTAGGCGTTTAAAATGTAGGTATTATGTCTGAAATTCGTGGGAATATGGACTCCTATGATGTCAAACAGTGTACTGCATCCTACTACACTACAGTGCAGTGTGTAGCAACCACTATTTTACTGTAATGAAAGAGAATATTAGAATGTAATAAAAAATATCAACGTGTCATACAGAAGGCTGAGGACCATATTCTGAAACTTAAGTAGGCATGTACTGATATGGTAGCAAGACTAATTCATATTGTAGGTTGTGCTAAAAATGTTTCAAAACCATACTCAAGTATATCGTTTAAAATTTTTCTCAACTGTTGATTATAGACTTAACCTTTAAGGAGTCTGCTGCCACCAGGTGGAGGTCTCATGTCAGGACTACATGATCTTGACAAAGTGACATTAACCTTCTGCATGCCATAGACCACTTTAGCCAGCTGTTAAGCTGAGAAACTCACTCAGAATGTTTTAAAATACATAACATACAATGCACAGAATTAAAACTGATTACATTGAAGTAGTTATCAGAATTTTTAAAAAATCTGTATGTATGTATATGTACTGTATGTATATGTTTATAAGGTGCTGGCTCTCGCCATAGTGGGTCTAGTGGCTACTACATATCCAAAGTAGTGAATGACATAAATGACATTTTCACATTTCCACAACAACTATAGAATGAAGAGCTATAACATCTAATGGTGACAAGTACGAATACTTTGAATCTTCATAATAATATACTAAGATTAAAAACTACATTTATTATAACTCAATCAAAATATGTCACTTCTTCCCCCAACCAACTGCACTGAAACTGAATTTTATTACAGGCCCACTGAGGTTCTGGGAATTGGGATCACATGTTCCTCTGAAGCAGTAGATGTGCCTCACACACTCTACTGTGCTTTGTCTAAACCAAGTTCTTTAGTCCTTCATTAGCAGAAAGAATTCTCAAAAAATATTTTTAAAAAAGAATGATATTCAAACAATTCAGCCTGTCACAGTAACTTTTAAAAGAATTAACTAGTAAAGGTCCAATTTGGTATTTTTCTCATCACTTTGTGACTTTGATCACAAATAACCCAATCTAGGTTTAATTATAAATAGGCTGATTAGAGTGTCTTTTCCTTTTATTTAAAATGAATCATACAATCTTATTTTGATGAGCAAACCTTCCTGGGTTTCTGGAAGCCCCTGCTGCTGGGCAGGCAGCCCCTCCTTACCCTGGCCAGCTCCACCTGGGCAGCAGCCACTGCTCGAACTCCCACACTACTCAGAGCAGCTATGCCTTTCTAAAGGTCCCTGGTCTTGAAGCTTTGCTGCTTTTCTCCCATGAGTCAAAAAAAAAAAAAAAAAAAAAAAAAAAAAAAAAAAAAAAA